GGTATCTAGGGGGATATAGAGTGCTCTAATCTGTTTTTCATTACCTTGCTTTTTTATTGAGATATTAGGGTCACCTTCAGTTTTTTAAATGGAATGTCTAATATTTTTTTTCGAATTCGGATAAATCGTCAAATTTTGCGTAAAAAAGTATTATTACAAAGTGGGACCTAAAACGGATAATTACTGAGATATCTTCAAATTAATAATCTTCTATTAGGAAATACGCTCAGCCAAGGTGATTCTTAGCACGACTTTGTTTACTTGTTTTATAAATATCTCAGTAATTATTCATTTTAAGCCCCACTTTGTATAATACCTTTTTACGCAAAATTTGACGATTTATCCGCATTCGAGAAAAAATATTAGACGTTCTATTTAAAAAACTAAAGGTGGCCCTAATATCTCAATAAAAAAGTAAAGTAATGGAAAACAGATTAGAGCACCGCATGTCCCCCTAGATACCATGCAACTTTTGTTTGAAACATTTTTTCGTGCAACGAATACCTTACGAGTTATTTGAGGTCGTCATGTTAGGAGACTCACCCTGTATAAGACATATTTCTAGCAACGAAAACAGCTATGAAATATTTTCTAAAGTAACTCATAAGTAAGCCAGTCGAAATGAAACGTTGAACGATAGTCGGATAGCAAAGGGTTGAAAAATTGAAGATGTGCATTAACAGCTTCAGCACAAAGAAACATTATAATTACTCGTTATTTTCTTTGAATATATGCACATTTTAGGGAATGTGAATGGCCTTTCATTTGCGAAGATACTTTACAAACGGTTGCAAAATTATAAAAATGATTAGACGCTTAATAGGAAGGAAAATATGTGATATTTTTAAGTTCGTATTTAAACTCACAATTAGTATACACTCCCGTCCATAAGTATCAAAACACTTACTGAATGTGAGGCAAACCTGAACAGTCGCTGCAAAATTATTAAGGTCCTGGAAAAAATGATTCAGTCTGGAATTTCCTAGTGCAACTAGTGTCGTTTGATTATGTCACACCAAACATCGTCACGAAAATGAGTTTGCGTAGGTCGTTGAACTTGCCTCGGTAACAATTTTCATATAATACAGAAGGAATTATAGCTATCAATTTAAAAAATTCGTAGTGTCTTAATTACGCGAAAATCATGGTAAATTTAAAAAATCTATTGCAGTCATCGTAGTGTGTATAAAAAGTATTTAAAACTTTGTCCTCTTCAATTTTTCTCGCAAATCTACCACTCACGCGAAAAACGCTGGAAACGAATAATACGAACACCCTGTATATTTCGACCGATATATCACACTAACTTTGACGAAGAGATGTAACTTAAATCGTACAATACTTTCTGAACATAATAGGTGTCCTAAAATACTTACGAACGGCAGTGTACATACACGTACAATCATTCAAAGACTAATTATATAAAATAATTGATCGGCAAGAAATGCTTGGGGATATCAACAAAACAATTGTTAAACAATTACTTGAAAAAGAGAGGGTTCAATGGAACATGTAATTCAGATCAACGCCACAGCATTTACTTATTGTTCATTCTGATCAGATTGCAAATACTTCACTCCGTTGAAAGGAGAAGAGAAAAAAATGTTCTTTGCGATGTCGATTTGAAACGGTTCTGTTTAGGTAATTGCCAACGCAACGTATAATGCTGCAATTCTTACGCTACCCGACTACGATATGAATGGCTCCCTCGTCGTGGGAGAAGGATTCAGAGGATGCATTCTCCAAGGTCCTGGCATTCTTTTCAACGATTCTATCAATAATGGAGCAGCGTTTGGTCCCTGCCCCGCGGAAATTCGCTAATTAATCTCTTAGGCACGGCGGAACTTTACGCGGGGCTGTTTCTCGGTACGGCAGAGTTCAACGCGAATTACGTGTAAATGATACGGCACTGCAATGTGTGACGGATAATGCTGTTCTTTACACGAGTACATTGGAATGAAGTGTTTGATGATTAAATTATAATTTTTCATTAGTATTTATAAAAATATTTATTTAAAAAATTTTTTTAAATTAAGATATGATTTTAACGCGCATTTTAACTTTAACAATTTATTCTAATAATTAATAGTACATTTCAGTGTGGTACATCTTAAAACACGGTACAACACAAAGGCGTCGTATAGAAAAATACATCCGCGTAAGCCACTATAGTGGTGCTCAGTGCCTAAGAGGTTAAGAATTAGGGATCTGATTTGGCAAAAACGAATTTTAGAAATTGTAATAATTAAGACGTACACCACCGGCCAAAAGTTTCGAATCACCTCCCACTTTTCATCGATATTAAATCTGCTGTTAATTTTTCATAGATTTCAAGTTTATCTCAATTCTACATTTACCAATTTATCTCGTACCACTTGATGCGAGTGATAAAAAATTCTCAAAGTCGCTGACTTTTTTCTGGAAATTTTTGTGTAAATTGCAATGCTCGGTGATTCGAAACTTTTCGCCGGTAGTGTATACACTGCAGGACATTTAAATGGAAGATTCGGTGAATATTAACTGCCGCTGGATAACTAAGTACCTTTCTTATTTCCAATTTTGTTTCCTAAGAGTATTTTCTCCTATACCGATAGAATTTCCACGAAATTCAAAGCTAGTACAAAAGTCAACTAATATACCGTAGAACATTTCAATCACTGTGCACTTTCAGAGTGAAGACCACGTAATATTTAGTTTATATCTGCGTGAACTCGCAGATTACACGTGTGAATCGTATGTACCACTTATATTAAGCAGTAGATTGCATGCCCGATTCTCCTACGAAACTTCCAGGTGGTACGAGCGGACTCAACGGTGGTGTAGGATCAAGTGCAATCACCACCATGGATTTCTGTCATCACGAGCCATGCATGATGCATGGTAAATGCGTATCACGACAGGATCGTTACGAGTGCCACTGTTACGCGCGATATTCCGGCAACAACTGTCAAATTGACAACGGTAGACCTCGATGTCGAATATAGGGGTTTGGCGTGGGATGAAGGATAGAAATAGAACCACGAACTATTAGAGACACCTGATAATGTCAGTTACAACATTCGAGTAGAATTATTTCTGTGTTACAAGTAGATAGTTTTTCAGCAAACCATCATTTTCATACTATAAAATCATTAGCATACAGGGTGCACCATTTAAACTATACACCTCGAGCAATTTCTAAATTATGCGTTCTTTGAAAAATTGTTACGCACAAGAATTGCACGGTTACAAAAGTACAGTACATCGTGGGTGACCCTCTTTACAGAGCGTTCTAACTTTTTGTGTTGAAATTCTGAATTATTTCTTTATTGAATGCAAACGTTTGAGTTTTCGAAAATTTGCTTCGCGTAACACGCAGACAGAAATGTAATACCCCTGAAAACTTCGTTAAAGCAACGGTGTTTATTTGCCAACACAGGTAGCTTTACCTTATCGTAAATGACTAATGCGTTCGTAATTTAGCGTCGAAGATATCCTCGGTTAATGTTTGCCATACACAGCATTGCTATCACATCCTTGCGGATCTCCAGTTTAACGTACCACGAGCGAAATTTTCAAGAAGCGAAGCACAGTACCTCGTTTACCCAATTAGATTTGGGGTAAATAAAGGCTTATATACTTTCTCTAGTAACTTCACATTCGTACGAATTCTGTTGTAAAAAAATACGTTATCCCATTTGGAAGAAGAAAGCTGACCTGGAAATTTCCAAAACGTCCCCACTTACAGATAGAGTACGCTATGTAATATCTCCCTTGAAACTGTGCAACTTTCATCAGCAACAATTTTTCAAACAACGCAACATTTATCTCAGATACACTGCCGTTCATAAGTATTAGGACACCTGTTACATTCAGAAAGTATTGTATAATTTAAATAACGTTTCTTCGCCAAAGTTAATATCATATATCAGTAAGTTAAGTAGCTCTTCACATAAATGATAGGTTTGTGAAACGAATAGAAAAGGACAAATACGCGATACGGTGACTTTGCCATTTTTCTGACAGCTTGCAGATACCATTCTGATAGAAATTCGGTGGCTTTGAATCAATTATGCGAATCACGTCGGGGAAAATTCATTTCTACACAAAGTAGATATTTAGAGGTTTTATCGTATGCACCGGTTGTATCTTAATTGTATCTAATCAGGATCTTAATAATGCAATAGTGACTGCTTCACATTCGGTAGTCTTAATACTTATGGACGGATGTGTATGCCTGCATATTTCACGTGACAATCTTCGTCTACGATTAAAGGTACACTACAAGTAAATTTGGTCTGAAAATAAAATTTGACGTTCTTTTAACAAAAGTGTTAATAATGGAATATCAACGAAGGAGTAATTGACCATGGGGTTCTCTTTTTAGTCTTCACGCATGACACTCGCATAGTACTTGCTTGTATTTTAGCCTTTCTTTTTTTCTTAACAGTTACCAGCCTTGCCCTTATCAGTTCAATAGAATGCCATAGAAATTACTTACAATTCTGATTTAACAACACGACTTTAATCTACAGTTAAGACTGAGTACTGCATGAATAATTCTACAGCCGACCTTTGAAACGTTTATAAGAAATGATTTTGCGCGCAACGCGTCTTGCTCGATTATCTCAATTCGTAATTTCATTTCAACTGTGCCGAAGAAACGGAATATGTACTTGAGATACAAAACATCGCGGTCGCATATATTTTCTCGCGTTCACCTGTTGTTTTTTGTTAAGAAACAATTTAGCATATTCATATCTCTTTCGCGTGCTGCCTCAAACATAAATTTCACATCGGTGTCGTTCTGTTTTTGCGTTATTTCTCTTCTAGCTTGCTTCTTCTTTCTGACCACAGGTGATTGGATTTCAGTGTCACTTGAAAGTGCCGTGCACAGTAGGCCGAAGCGTGGAAAAACACAAAATATATTCGTAGAATCGATTATAATGTTTCTACGAAAAAATGATCGCAACTGCTCTGTTTCTTTCTGAAATGGACCAATATCGCGTAATAGCAACTTTTGCCAGCGAATTGAAAGTTTTGCATTAATTTGTAGTTACAGAAATGAAGGCAAAAGTTTAAAAGCCATAGTAAATAAGATAAATTGAATATCAGACAAATAAATTAAATCAACCCTCTATGGGCCGAATATTTTTCTTGACTGTAAAAGAATTTATGCAACGTAAAATTAGCAAATGTCGACCTATAAATACGGAATAACAGTGATTTCAGCAGTTTCGACAAGTTTATCACAAAAAATACATATTGTAACTTTGAAGTAACAACGGCTATCAAGAAAGTTACTGGTTAATAAGGAGACGTTTATGCCATTTTGTGGAAGAAAGTTCAATTATTTAATAAAATATCGATATGTTAGTATGTGACTTGAAAGTTACACGGGCCCGTAGAGTGTTAAACAAAATAAGAGAATATTGAACAATTCCGGCACCGTTAATATGAAATTCGACAGAAAAAGTACGTTGCTTAATTCTCCGACATTTGCAACAATGTTTTTATGTTTTATACGTTGCATCTGATTTTTCTATTTAACAGTTGCTTGCATTTTTTCACGCATTCACTTCCTGTGGACGTGCGCCTGCGACACTCTCATACCTTTTTTTTTAACGCTTCTCTCTCGGTCACTGTTTCAACCATTACACTGCGGCAAAATCTAGAATATTATATTTACAACGAATTTGTCAGGTCCGCTGTGCACCAGCAGCCCCTGTCGCAACGGTGGTACCTGCAATGAAGATTCGAAAGGGGACTTTAGTTGCGTGTGCAAGCCAGGGTTCACCGGAGCTTTCTGCGAGTCGCAGCTTGGCGTACGACTTTGCGAGCAAAGCCCGTGCAGAAACGACGGTGTTTGTTTAGCGCTCACAGAGAGCGAGTACAAGTGTGAATGCCTGCCCGGATGGACGGGAAAGAATTGTGAAACGAATTTTAACGAGTGCTCTTCGAGTCCTTGCAAACACGGCGGATCATGCATAGATGGTATCAACAATTATACCTGCATATGCGACAGAACTGGGTACGCTTGCTTTATGTATTTATCTTCAGTATTTATCTAAGTAATTCAACCCTTTGAGGAGGGCGATAGACCGCGTTCACAAAACATTACGAGCGCAACCAATAAACTCGTACATTTTGAAGTAATAAAAATAATTGACGTGAACTGATGTGCGTATATTCGAGTAAAATGTAATTATCAGATGATTTAGTTTTAGATTTAGACACTTTTTTTTTTTAATATAGAATGATAAGTACTGTTGTAGTAAGTGGTAATTAAATCGCTAACAAGAATAGGATTATTTTTCATTGCTATTTTGATATACTATGGGGTGACAGTTTCTTTTTGTTAAAGTACGAGAAATGTTCGCTTTAGAATTTATAAAAATTTGCATACTTTATTCTGAATAATGTACGTAGTACGTAAGACATGTAACGAATACGTCACACATGACAATGTTAACGCTTGCACGGAGTTTGTAAAGTTACACGAATAAGTAAATGTAGATGAAATTGACCCAATATCATATATTTACAAAAAATGAGTATAAAATTTCAACTACTCTAACAGTACTGAGAAATTGAAATATACCAATTTTTCTTAAAACAGATATGACATATTGTTGAAACTTCGCAACTGATGTTACATACTTAAATATTCACAAGATTAAGCCAGATAGTACTGATACTTCGCAAAAATTCGAGTCTCTCAGAATTAATCGAGTAGCTTCGAACTGCTTGAAGTGTTGCACGAATAATCGAGTACTCGGTTCCGTTCGAAAAAATGAAATTTTCTCGTTTCTAACTGTTCTACTGAATGCAACAAAAATCTCGGTAATTCGGTATCTGTTGAACAAACAGTTGAAAGAAATATTCCCCGAAAAATGAAGAACGGAAGATTTTTTCCCTAGAAAAAACTGTAATAATTGTCCTTAATGTTCATCCTGTTACAGGTACGAAGGTGCAAACTGCGAAATCGATATCGACGAATGCTTAGCGAACCCCTGCTTGAACAACGGTGTCTGCTACGATAATTACGGTGGTTACATCTGCCATTGCCCGAACGGCTTCGAGGGTCAAAATTGCGAATTAAACTTAAACGAATGTTTATCGAATCCCTGCATGCACGGCGGGGATTGTGTGGATGACGTTGGCTCCTATCATTGCACCTGTCCATCTGGATACACGGGTCGGCATTGCGAGCTTAGAAGTTTGTGCGAAAACGCAGCATGTCCTTTGAATAGCATTTGCGTTGAAGACGCACACGGCCCGCAATGCGTTTGTAATCCCGGATTCATGGGCAATCCCCCGAATTGCACTATCAATTATTGTGCCAGTAATCCGTGCAGCAATGGCGGAACATGCACGAGCAACAAGGACGGATACAACTGTACCTGTCCACCGGAGTGGAAAGGTGAGACGATAAATCGACATGCGTTACGGGAAGTAGCACGTTTCATTTGTCTTACGAGGAACAGCACTTTGCACGTAAAGAAGCACATTTCATCGTTTCTTGCGAATGTTGCCACGTTTGGTCTTCCGTCGTGAAAACTATAATACATTGTACTGTCTCACCGGGAAGATTTTGCGGCGAACACTTTCGGCGTGCGGTCAGTTCAAATCGTTGACATGCAGGTTGCAATGAAAGTCTGCCTTTGAAAATATTGTTTAATAAATAATATCTAATCTAATCTTGAAAACGAAAAAGATTTGAAACGTTTCTCACTTTCGATGCACTCGAGAAGCGAACGAACCGAAGAGAGACGACAGCCGAGAATACTCAGAACACTTAGGACCTCCCTCGATAATAGTCGCGGTGCGGACCCGAGTTAGCGTTAATTAAACGAGAAATACTGTACAGTATGATCGGATCAGGACAAAATTCTGATTAGATCAGATTCGACTTACATGGTACAAAAAAAAAAAAAAAATGAAACTTTGTCTGTTGCTGCGGTGTAAAGCTAAACATGCTTTCTGTCATTCGGATGTGCTACTTCTCGCGACGGAAAACGAAACATATATTTCGTGGCAATGAAGACAAACGTTGCTGTTTCTCAATAAGGCAAACGAAACCTGCCACTTTTCGTAACGCACATAAAATATGAAGAACTTGAAGTTTAACCGTATAATCATTTTTTAACATACTGACTGCCACGACTGTAGGCCGTTCTTCGTTGCTTTGAATGAAATCTAATATTACGGGACGATTGATCGTATTTGTCGTTGTTTTTGAACAGCCGAATAGAAGATTCAAGGGAAAAGGTGTTATCCCGTTTTACCACTCTTCTAAGTTTCAAGCTGCCTTTCCGTACACTTACTCCTTTAACTGTGCAGAGACGATATCGATACAGCGTATTCAGGGGGTGGTATAAATGAAAAAAAAAATATTTCACTAAGGTATTATAATACTTTATTATTTATCAAAGAAAATTGTATACTATTTTGTTAATTTTGCAGCTCTGTAGAATTGCTGACTGGTAAACGAGTGACTCTCTTGTTTATCAGTTGTTTCTTTGTACGCCACACACTTTTGTACTGTGTCTTGAAAGCGTATTAGCGGTGTATTTACAACGGTTCGTAATACAGTGGAAATATTTGAAGAAATCCCTATAACACTAGTTCAATGAATGAAAATTTCTATTATTGCGGAAGGAGAAACTTTTAAACATGTATTATAAGTCTTGCGAAATCATGTGAATCATAGTTGGCGGTAATGGCACTTGTTCATTTCTCAATTAGCATGCCTGCAGAGTTACGAGGCCTGCAAGCATTTTATAATTCTGCTTAACGGACAGTGAATCTTCGACATTCTAAAAACTTGCATCTATTTCACTTCCAGAATGTGCTGTATCAAGTTGGTTCTAACCCTTTGAGACATTCTGTAACTCTCTTTCCCCAGTCATCTGCAATTTTCCAAGCTATTCCTTGTTCAAATGCGCCGCCAATTCCTCCGTACCTCTGCAACAATCCAAATTTCTGTCCTATTTATGAACTTAACTGTCTTCTTGTTTACTCAGTTACCGGTAGAGTTAGGTAATATAAAGATGTGTTACAACTTAATTGTCAGGTAAATTTATACGCTACCGTTCACAAGTATTAGAACACTCATTATGTTCGCGTAGAAAGGATTATACGATTTAAATTACATTTCCTATAGATTTCCGGATGTATTAGTAAAAATATACACATGTACTCGTTACACTCCAAGATTCTAGAACGAATAATTTTTTCCTAGGATCCTAATAATTTTGTAATCATTTTTGTGAATCAGATAATTTTATATTAAACTTGTAATGACAAAGAGGCTTGCTTCACATTCGCTAAGTGGATTTTAGTCAATTCTAACCGGTGTTTTATAAGATTTCGATAGATATTAGTAGAGTACAGTAGATTTCAGTAGAACTCAGTAAACTTTAGTAGATCTCCGTGCGCTTCACATTCAACAAGTGTCCTAGTACTTATGAATGAGAGTGTACGTGTTGCAGCGTAATTACTAGGTAAAAAAATCCTATTCATCGCGGTAGTCAACGTGTTAAATGTCAACGGCTATCATTGGTGTCATTATGCTACGTTTACTTTAAAAGTGAAATGTGACTAACACCTGTATGAATTTATCTTTTGTCCTTCTTTCTCGTTGCAACGAAATCCCTTTTCTCGTACATTTGGCACCTTGTTCTTAAATGTTGCGTGTAAGTGTCTGCCAATTCTATGTGACGCATGGTCCATCAGGAACAACATGCTTGTCACCAGCCTCGGATTGGTGTTCTACCTGCTACAACGGAGGCAGTTGTCTCGAGACGCGTTTCGGTATTATGTGTCAATGCCCGAGATTCTGGACGGGACCACAATGCAAGGATCCGATCACCTGTCGTGATCTACCTTGCAAACAAGCTTCCGCTTGTCATGATTATGTGAGTGAAGTATTTACACACGGCTTTGCATGAACGTCCAACCGATTAATCGACCGTGTCGCGTTAAATGTATTTCTATGTGGCTTCTTGCTTTCTTTGTTACGTCTCGCTCTGAACAGCCCGGCGGCTATTATTGCACCTGCGAGCCAGGATGGACGGGCCCAGAGTGCTCGATTGACATGGACGAGTGCTCCAGTGATCCTTGCCGCAACGGCGGAATCTGCATTGATCAACAGAATAGCTACTACTGTCAATGTCTCCCGGGATATACTGGTAATCACACTTGATTCATCGAATCTTCTGCCTGCACTTAGCTTTGCTTAAGAACTCTCTGCGATACGCTTGTTTTACAACCCAGAACATGATCAACCGACGTTGAAAATGTCGTTTTGTTGCTTTTCCTGTGTTGAAAGAGGAGATTGGATTCGTTCAAATCGTACATATTCCATACGTATTTTGTCCCAACTACAAAGGGCACATTTGTTTCGTTAAACGTGATAATTCAACTTTGAAGTGAAACATTAACTTGGAAGTTTCACCCGTTGACCTTATCTTGAAAATATGCTAGAGTATTCAATGAATCTGAAAAACTTCACGTCTGAATAATATACGGACTGTACTATTCGAAGCAATCGTTCGAACTTCTGTTATGCATATTTTTATTTTAACACTAATTTATATTTTTTGGAGGCCCTAGGCGCAACATCATTACTTTGGCCTCAAGAGAACAAAACTATTTCAGTCAATCAAATTCATACACACATTTTTTTTGTAAGTTTATTGAAAATAAAACTCGACATTTCCATAATAACTAATTTTAATAAAATAAAGATGACACAAAGTTTCAAAATGTGACCCCTTAGAGAGTGAGGCCGCAGCTTGCGCCTTATGAAAAATGCGGCCCAGACAATATACCTACAATTATTCCTTTTAACATTATACATCTATCCAATTTAATGAAAAGTATTTGTCGCCAATGTTACCAGGCAAAAACTGTCAAATCAACGTGGACGAGTGCCTATCGCAACCTTGTCAAAACGGTGGCACGTGCATCGATCGAATCAACGGATACATATGCAACTGCACGAAGGATTTCATGGACGAAAATTGCGAACGCGAGTACAATGCTTGCGCGGTAAATCCTTGCCAAAATAACGGGAACTGCACTTTGATACCAAGGTCCCGGCGAGAGTTCATTTGCGAATGTCCCCGTGGTTTCGAAGGGAAAATTTGTGACATTAACGTGAATGACTGCATTGACGTGATATGTCCCGATGGTAAAGTTTGCGTGGACGGTATTGCAGGTTACGAGTGTATATGTCGCGAGGGTTATAGAGATCCTAATTGTACCCTTATTGTTGACCATTGTGCGACGAAACCCTGCAACAGCGGTGTGTGTATTGATCTTGGGGAACAGGGTTTTGAATGCAAGTGCAAAGACGGCTTCCAAGGTACGCGGTGTTCTTTAAGGAAAAATTATTTTATACAAAAATTACACAGGGTGAGTCGCGTAACTTGTCTACCCCGGATAACTTCTAAAATATGTTCTACAAAAAAGAAAAAAGTTTTGTATAGAAATTGCACGGTATCGAAGGAAACACATACCTTTTGGTAACAAAATTTAAAAGAGCAGTGAATTTTCTGTAAGAAAAATTAAAGTAATAATTTATGTAAAATTGTGAATTATTTGAATTTTCTTTGTTTAATAATTCTACGTCATTTATGTTATTTAATAATTCTACCTCAGAGTTATATAAAATTATAAATTATTTGAATTTTCTATGTATCATCAAACTATAGAATGGTAAAAAAATGGAACACTTCTATCCTTAATTAACAGATTGCACAGGTGTATGGAAATCGACGGGTATCGCTTTGAGCACCTGCTGTAAGTAAGATGAGTAGCGAGGCTATCGTTAATTATTAAGTTCAGGACAAATAACAGGACACTGGACACTGCTCCTTTAAATTTTCATACAAAAAGGTACGCATTCCGTTTAAAAAATTCTAGAACAACTTGGTATCTCGTAAACAAGTAGGTTATTTAAAAAAATCGTTTCAGTTACACGTGTTCCCTTCGATATCGTGCAATTTATATATGAAACACTTTTTTGTAAAACACATACTTTAAAAATTATCCCAAGGTGGGAAAGTTATGTGACTCACCCTGTATATTATACTTATCCTCATTTGCCACCAATCACAAAGATTTATATATTCAATTATCTAATTTTTAATAAACACAGTAGTACATATTTTTCACCGGCTAATCGCAATTACTAAAATTCGCAGGTCAATACTGTGAGGAAGATATAAACGAGTGCGAAATAGAAGGCAGCTCGTTATGCAACAATGGTATCTGCGTGAATACGGAGGGCGGCTATAACTGCTTTTGCAGACCAGGATTCTCTGGAGATCACTGTGACATCGACATCGACGAGTGTCTATGCGGACCGTGCAAAAATAACGCTACGTGCATCGACGGTATTAACACATTCGAATGTCAATGTCCACCTGGTTATTCTGGAAAAACATGCGACATGGATGTAAACGAATGCGAGAGTAATCCTTGTTTAAACGGCGCGACTTGCGTCGACGAAATTGCCAATTATATGTGTATATGTTCACCTGGCTTCCGCGGATTGAATTGCGAGATAAATATCGACGATTGCGAGCCGTTGCCGTGTTTGAATCATGGCCAATGCATAGATGGTGTAAACAATTACACTTGCGACTGCAGCGACACCGGCTTCGAAGGTTTTCACTGCGAGAAAAATATCGACGATTGCCGGTCGGAGCCCTGTATAAACGGTGCTTTCTGTATAGATGACATTAAAAATTACAAATGTCAGTGCTATGCCGGCTATACCGGTAAAAATTGCGAGGTCGATATAAATGAATGCGAAAGTTCACCCTGTCAGTACAACGGCACTTGTCTAGAGAAATCGAACATGGAATTATACAAAAGTGACGCGGTAACGTTACCATCGATATTTAATCAAGAGTTCAGTTATGCGAATGCAAGCGGGTAGGTATACCGTGATGTTTACGATAATCGAACAAGAATAACGAATGGCTTGGGTGCATCGAAAAAAAGTGATTACAATTTTCAAATTTGTTTCAGGTACGAATGCCTTTGTGTACAAGGCGTCACGGGGAAAAATTGCGAAGTGAATATTAACGAATGCGATAGCAATCCCTGCCAGGCTGGATCCTGCGTAGACCGCATCGGTGGTTACACCTGCGAGTGTGACGACGGGTACGAAGGCGATCATTGTCAACACGACATAGATGAGTGTAAACGATATACACCTTGCGAGCATGGCGTATGCACCGATGGAAGAGCTGATTATACTTGCACTTGTGATCCAGAATACGGCGGAAAAAATTGTTCAGTAGAGCTGATCGGTTGTCAAGGAAACGCTTGTCAAAACGGTGGCACATGTTGGCCGTATCTCGTCGATGAAACTATACATAAATTTAATTGTACATGTCCAAATGGATACCACGGAGAAATTTGTGACTACGTAAGTTTTCAAATTTACGCTCGTTGCGACTTCTTTTCGTGTAAATCGTAGGAAATGTTTATTATTGTAATACGTTATGTTAATTTATTACTTAATTTAATTACACTTCTTGTTATATCCTGCACTAAAATATACGACACAGATGAAGGTTCGTAGATGTAAAAACCGAAAGCTTTCGTCCGCTTCCAGCTATGTAATTTTAGTTCCTTTTATTTATTTATTTATTTATTTTTTCATAGGTAACGACAATGTCCTTGAATGGCAGCTCGTACGTTTTAGTGAATACCACTCGAGACGAAGGATACGACATACAATTCCGTTTTCGAACAACCTTACCAAATGGATTACTCGCTATTGGAAAGGGCCTGACATTTTATATACTTGAACTTGTCAACGGCAAATTGAATCTGCATTCGAGTCTCTTAAACAAGTGGGAGGGTGTGTTCATTGGCAGTGGTTTAAACGATTCCACTTGGCAAAAAGTGTTTGTCGCTATCAATGCCACGCACCTAGTACTCTCAGCTAACGAAGAGCAAACAATCTATCCTATTAGCTTGAACGAGGGCTCCAATTCCAATCACACGTCTTTTCCAATGACTTATGTTGGCGGTACTACCAATTACCTGCGACGATTAACTCATGGCCCGTCCTTCTTCGTCGGCTGCACCGAAGATGTTGTTATTAACGGGGAGTGGGTATGTTGTATCTTAAGCCATATAAAAAAACTAAAATAATAAATTACTTTTATAAAAGTACCAGCTTTTACGAAAATTTTACACAATAATCATCATTTAGGTATACTCTGGAACTTCGTCAAAAACCGTGTATATGGAAGACGTTGAACCGGGCTGTCCACGCGAGGCTCAATGTTCGCCAAACCGTTGTAAAAACGGTGGTCACTGTACAGACAGATGGCGTGATTTTTCCTGCAAATGCGAAAGACCATATCTCGGACATACCTGTCAATATAATATGACAGCGGCTACATTTGGATATGAAAATATCACAAACAGTTACGTAACCGTGAAAGTATCCGATATGGCTAGAAGAGCTGTCAGATTAATCGTCGATATCTCTATGTTTATACGCACAAGGCAAGATAGGGGTGATATATTTTATTTAGGCTCAGAACCGAATCTGCAAACGGATCTTAAACCTCAAGAGAAAACTTACATAGCAGCACAATTGGAAGGAGGTGAATTACTTGTTAGAATACAGTTTAACGGTACAGAGGCTTACACGGTTGGTGGTGTGAAACTAAACGATGGAAACAATCATCTTATACAAATAATTAGAAACGTAACATTGGTACAAGTGAAGATTAACGGTACAGAGTATTTCCGAAAAACTATCAGTGCCTCTGGTCAACTGAACGTAACTGTCTTGTATTTGGGAGGTTTACCACAAGCATCCAGATACATACGACAAGTTGATAATCGGCAAATAGAAGTATCGCAGACTCCACAAGTTAACTTTAAAGGAATTATTCAAGACGTTCAGATATCCAACGGTATCGAAACTATGGTCGTTGAATTCTTTCCTTTAAAAGTAAGAATATAATATTGTATATTTTCAAGCAGAAATATTATTCAATTGTAAGATTTAGTTCTAATGGGACCTAGTTTCAGGTTTTCAATTGTAAACTGAACCAAATGATATTTGTAATATAATTACAACTTTTTAAGTTAATACGTATTTTTTTTGACTTAAATAAAATTAGCATAAAAGTAACAAGACGTTAATATCCAATATTAGAGAGCACATTTGACTTAACTTGATAAATTATTTGAAAAATCTGAATTGAATTGTAAAATGTTAAATCAGTTCATTATCTATATTAACTGAATTAGTTAAAAATATTGATAACTTTTATTTTTTCACAGGCAAACGACATTCCTACTCTGAAACAGTTCGGTAACGTAACTTTTGATTACGATAAAGTACTTAAGGGTGTAGTATCCGATAACGTGTGTGTGAGCAATCCATGTAATCATAATGGAACTTGCCATGTTACGTGGAACGATTTTTGGTGTCAGTGTCCACGAGGATATACCGGCAAAACCTGTCAAGAAATGGAATTTTGTCAATTACAAGATTGTCCTGCTGGATCAAAGTGTCAAAATCTAGACGATGGCTACGAATGTATCGCTAATGCTACTTTCAATGGAGTGACGACTTTCACATACGTTTACAACCAAGTGGAGGAAAAGAATGTGACCGATACAACCATCGATACTATTCAAATTACATATAGATCAAACACCGGCGGTACATTGATGCATATCGCGCCTCGTGTAGGCGCTCAGCATTTCACAGTTTCCGTTTATAAGGATAAAATCACAGTATCTTGGCGGTTAGATCTGCAAAATCAGGGAATACTGACTTTTGGTAAAGTAGAACCTGATGGAAATTGGACATCCATAGTACTTAGATTAAACAACAATTCCATGGAATGCGGATACGCAAATTCTAACGACGAATATGCGTCGCATGTCAGTCCAAATTTTAGTTTCTCTTTATGGTATGATTTACTGATTACTGGAACGGTGACACTTGGAGGACTCAGCTCTATTTTATCTGAGAAACATAGTTACGTAACAATCGGTTCCGGTAGACAAAATTTAGAAAATAAAAGCGGCATTAATGAGAATTCGATAGATTTCACTGAACGTACATTAACTACCGCTTCACCACCTTATAATATAATGTCAGGTAATATGATACTCAATTGTAACAGTTTTCATTTATTTTATATTTTTCAACGTGGAAATTATACAAGGCGTCAGCGAAGAGATGATATAACCCGAAGAGGGGTGAATCTATATCAAAAAATAAATCGAAAATCTAGAGTAACATTTTTTCATACGAAGCTGTATTTCCGAATAAGTCGATATTGAAGATTCGTCGAGTACATGTAAAGGATAAATAAAGAAGGATAAACAATGAAATAAAAGTAAGATCAAAAATCTCTGCTGCATCAATTGTAATGGTAAAATAACTTGGCCACTACGATCTCCGGACTTGATACTGATGAATTTTTACTTATAAAGCCACGTCAAGTGTCCTGTATACCACGATGACAATACAAGTACAGAACACCGCGAAGAGAAAATTGTTCTTGCATTCGAACATTTGAAAATATATTCTAGAAAACGTTCACAGAAGTGTAAGTGTACGCGTACTCGATGATTCTTCAACATCGATTTATTCGGAAATGAAGCTTCGCATACAGAAATGTTAATCTACATTTTCGACGTATGTTTTTCGTATAGATTCACCCTTCTTCGGGTTGTACTACCACTTCGATGACACCCTGTATATTTACCCTTTAAATTGCATACTACGTTTTCTATTTTTCTGTTTTATAGGCGAAGCTTTCAAAGGATGTTTGGGCGAAGTAAGAATTGCTAGCATGCTTTTACATTATTTTACATATGAAGAAGTTTATCAAAACGCTAATTTCACGCCCTTAGAATATTTAGCGTTACAAGAAAATAATTCGACACACCATGATAGTATCGGCTGTCAACTTTGTTTTGACTTGGATTGCAAAAATGACGGTCACTGTCTTGATAAAACAAGCAGTTACATTTGCGAATGTCCTGCAGGATACACCGAAGACGATTGCTCTTTTAACATCGATGAATGCATTGATAATAAGTGCGATAATGGAGCAACATGTAGAGACGGAATTGCTAATTATACGTGTCTGTGTAACAGTGGCTGGACTGGATGGCTGTTAGTACACATTAATGAATTTATTCATATTAAATACTAGTGGTATTATAAAAGTATTGAAAGTCAATGAAATGGATATTAATAATATAACAATTATAGTATAAAATAGAAAAATGTATACTAAAATTGAAACAATTTTTAAATGTAACTTCTTCAAAAGAAGACGAATTTTTTTTTCTATGAAATGACACAATTCTAAATAAATCCATTTGGTTTCTCTTTACAGTTACAAGTAATGGCAGCGACGTTAGCACTATTTTCTTCACTTATCAATCTTATCTTTATTTTAGATGCGATAGCGACATAAACGAGTGTGTAACGCTTAGGCCTTGTCAACACGATGGCGTATGCATAAATCTTCCCGGATATTTCCGTTGCGAATGTCCAGACCAATTTACTGGCGATTTATGTGAAAATTTCCGTTTAATTACTTGTGAAAACCAGCCTTGCAAAAACAACGGCATTTGTACAGATGTTGTCAATTCTCAAACTGGTGACAATTTCACCTGTACTTGTATGACTGGTTACGAAGGTGCAATTTGCGATGTCCCTTATTGCATTGGACGGAATTGCCAAAACGGCGGTAGATGTGATTTATCACAACAGGTATGTATATAATATCCTTTTTAACTACTTTCTGAATTGTTATATTTTTGTAAACTAGATGACACAAAGATTTTACGGATTCCATTAAGCGAAATTGCATGTGACTGCTTCACGAAGTACGATCAAATTTGTAGATCTTTTTACTACATATATGTAGTTATAATGGAATTCGAAGTGATAAAATGAATTATAACATTGTTTAGATTACTAGACGCCTCGGTGTATTTGTCCACCCGGTTATTCTGGACTTTACTGCGAAATTAATATCGATGACTGCGCACCAGATGCAGAGGGAAATATACCATGTAAAAACGATGGGAAATGCTACGACGGTGTAAATAATTTCACCTGCGATTGTAGTCATACCGGCTACACAGGACCAGATTGTTCTATCGATGTAGATGAATGTCGCGATCCAGCAACAGATTGTGGTCATGGGCAATGTGATAATTTACCAGGAACTTATCAATGCATTTGTGATTTGAGTTATTGCGGATATAACTGCGGAATGATGGATCCTTGCAAAGAGGTAGTACACTTCAAAAAAATGTTCTCTAATTCCATCCGATACATGTTACTTCAGATTCATATAAATAGGATCCAGGTGTATCAAATGCCCTTTTATGTCGTCACAACACATCTCGGTCTTGATAATTTTGAATTCCACTTGTATAGATCTGGAGGCTCCCTAATTTCACATGCATTGATAATTCTTTTCTCACTATTCGCATAACATCTACTTTTCTTAGCAGGATTATTGTCAAAATGGAGGTACGTGTACATGTGGAGATGATGGCGGTTACAGGTGTCAATGTACGCACGATTATACCGGACAAAATTGTACAGAGGTGCGTCTTAATATTTTAAAACGAAAAGTCTTCAATAATTAATTAAGTATAGTAAATATTAATTTCTTTTTTCTTAGACGGAAAATTTTTTGGGCAGTCAAGCACTCGATATAGCGGTGATCGTAGGCCCTATCGTCGGATGCCTGTTCCTAATTGCTGTAGGCTCTTTGGTAGCATTATTCATGATGGCTAGAAAGAAACGAGCTACGCGAGGAACGTACAGCCCAAGTGCTCAAGAATTCAGTAATCCACGTGTGGAAATGGACAATGTGATGAAGCCACCACCGGAAGAGAGATTAATCTAAGAATTATTTTCGTGACAAAGGAACATAGATGTTCCACGTCTCGATAAATCCTAGTCTGCCGAGAACATACATCATTGCCGCAGTATTTGTCGATTAAAGGGGAAAATCCGGGAATTCGCCTTCTCGACAGAATTGTCTTTAAACGGCAAATGAAAATATATAAGGTTTCATCGCGCGTTTTCTAGTCCATGCTACCTTATCACACAGCTATCAAATTGACATAAGGAGTTAAGTGAGCAATATAAGACACGATAACTGATTTTAAAGAATTCGAAAGCGACGCTAAAGATGAAACGCATCAGCACTGTCTGTGAAATTGCAATTTCACTATTGAATAGAGCCTAAAATCGAATATATATTAAAATCATTAAAAAATTGATTTTTAAGGGGGTATATTGCAAACGTAAGAGTAAAGTGAGGAATGTATTGTAAAATTGATGCATTAGTCGTGTTGTTTATTTGAACAAATCATATAGATATATAAAGTGTACTTAAAACATTATTAAGTGTCCTTAACTTACGAGCAATACTCGAAAGAAACTTCTAAGAAACGAGACCCGTCCATTTTAGTGCCTAACTGACCCTACTTAAAGCTTTTATTTATAAGCAGTAAATTTAATACCTCGAAAGTGAATATTTGCAAAACATGTTAAACACAAATGTTACATCGAGATCTCTAAAGCATAATAATATACATTACTATTGTTGTACTTGCTGAACTTCAAGCAACTATAATACAGCTATCGTTAAATACAGCGTAGTAATCTTATGACTTGTTGCAAATATACCAGAACTTTGTAAAAATATCTTAAAGGGTAGTTATCGCAGATTACGCGTTAATTGTTGCCGGTGCATTTGCACATTTTTCAATACCGACGCGCTTGTTAATTTTGTACATAATTTAGATTATAAATTGAAGAAATTAATAACGATTCTACCATTAGTATTTTATATAAATATAGTATTTAATGACGAATATTATTTGGTATGTAATTACTTACTACCACGACCAAAGTAATAGCGAAGAATTTTTCTTGTCTATTAAAATATAAATGATATAGCCGTAAATAAAGAAGGTGTCATTATTTTTCAATAGCCAAGGACAGTTATCTTTTACGAATACGAGAAAGCTAACATATTGTTACTATCTTTTTTCTTTTTAAATATACGGTTTTTCCGCGTACTATTCTTTCGCCATATAGAATCTAAATTAGTACGAATTTATATTTACTCTAATGAATTTTAATGTCGTAGGAACAAAATTTTTAATCAAAGAATACATTTTAATATTGTTACAAAATATCAAGCATACTTATTTTAAGCGTGTTAATCTTTAATAAATGTAGCGTATTGAATGTGGGAACACTGTATCAACTATAGCAAATGCTTATTGTATAATGTGGTATCAATCAAAAACAAACACGCAATTTATTATATGAATAGTCTATACTTGGAAAGATAGGAATGATCAAATTATTGTAAGTTACAAACAATAACCTTTGTTCGATATGTATTATAAAATGAATATCATTGTTTTCTGCAAGACTGAAATTTTGGGTACTAAGAGAAATACATGAATACGTATGCATGCGCTTTCCACGTGAATACTTATTTTGTGACAAAATGTGACAATATGCAATATTGTGTATAAATAATTATAACAATTTGAACAACTAGATGTACAAAAACAATAAAAATTTAAATACTTTAGTAATAGTATTTATTTCTACTTGTTATAAAATATACATATGTGAAAGACATTTTTACGAAGAACATCATCTAACTGAGACACCAATTTTAATGCAACTTTGCATACAGCATAAGAATGCAAAAATGTGGAACATTTCTTTTCATCGCCGGTCGCTCATGTTTAAGTCCTAAACGTTAGAATACGAACTATTACTCTGGAACTAATATATCCCTGTTTTTTCATATGTGATTTATTTAGAAATTAACACTGCAACGAGTCATTAAGCTTTCCACTGACGAAGGCTCATTAACGCGTCATGCGAAAACGACCCTCTCTTTCTGAATAAAAAAATTATTTCAACACTGCCCAAATGAGGGTTCGAGAACCGCTTGAAGTTTACCCACTTCAGTGTGCGTCGTCAAGGAAACCGCGCAACTGTAAAGAAAGTCATTGTAGGCTATATGTATATTTAGCCATTATCGTTTCTTCCAAGAAATGATTTAAACACTATGTACAATGTGGAAAGAGTAAATATGTACTTGAAAATAAGCCAGACACTGTATTTTACAATCGTACATTATTAGTAATATTAAAGCAATTAAAAATTCATTATATGTATCAATTAAATATAATAGGGATGACGAGAATAGCAATAGCAAATAGAGACAAGGAAATGAATAACGGTAGACAAGGATAGCACTACAGAAATGAGTTAGACAAGGAAAGATATAGGGATAGACAAGGATAGATAATTTTCAGATATAATTAACGCCATCTCGCGTTTGGCTTCGCGAACTAACAACTCGTTACTAGGAACACAGAATGTAAACAGAGGTATTAGACAAGGAACGCACTAGTGTGCGAGAAGGATAGAGAGAAAACGCCTCCTATTGGCTGGCGGGCCGCCATGCTCCAACTTCCAGGCCCTAAGTCAAGTCGGCCGGTGAAAAATCGTTAATAACTCAATAATTACGATGATTTTGTGAACTTTTAGAATTGAAGAATGAAGTGTGGACCTTCAGCAACTTTCTCCTTTAGATTTTAATGCACTAGACCCTTTAAATAATTAGTTATTAGTAATTGTTGTGCGAGTTGTCGGAAACGATACCAAATACCGTTAAGTATCTTCACGATTTTTCAATAATTTCACAGGTTTCTACTAAATTCTCGTGCAACTAACTGCATGCATCTGAAAGACAACTCCTTTAGTTACATTCTCATATAAATTTTATTAACATATCTCTTCTGGTTCGATAGTTATTTAATATTCTTTGAGAGAGTATTACATACATCGCATTCAAGAGTAACACATTTTCGTTGTTTCAATAGATATACGTGACCAATTATGCACTTTAAAGCATGAAGAATGTAGAATAGACTTTTATCTATATTCTGCAGTTAGTTTGGTAGACGTGAGTGAAGTGGTTTAATTGATATTAGCAATTGTCTGTAACAGTTGACCATACTCGAATGCGGTGAATAGGCGACTCTCCCATATAATATTTAATAACTCCTAAAGTGAACCGAATATGTTAATAAAAATTATATGAGAATGTAACTAAAGGAGTTGTCTTTCAGATGCATGCAGTTAGTTGCACGAGAATTTAGTAGAAACCTGTGAAATTATTGAAAAATCGTGAAGATACTTAACGGTATTTGGTATCGTTCCCGACAACTCGCACAACAATTATTAATAACTAATTATTTAAAGGATCTAGTGCATTAAAATCTAAAGGAGAAAGTTGCTAAAGGTCCACACTTCATTCTTCAATTCTAAAAGTTCACAAAATCATCGTAATTATTGAGTTATTAACGATTTTTCACCGGCCGTCTTGACTTAGAGCCTGGAAGTTGGAGCATGGCGGCCCGCCAGCCAATAGGAGGCGTTTTCTCTCCATCCTTCTCGCACACTAGTGTGTTCCTTGTCTAATACCTCTACATTCTGTGTTCCCAGTAACGAGTTGTTAGTTCGCGAAGCCAAACGCGAGATGGCGTTAATTTTATCTGAAAATTCTCTGTCCTTGTCTATCCCTATATCTTTCCTGGTGTAACTCATTTCTGTAGTACTGCCTTGTCTACCGCTATTCATTTTTGTTGTCTTACTCGTTTCTGTATTGCTAAATACCTGGCCGAATTATTCTTTATAGTAAGCACGACTAAATATATTGAATTGTGTGAGTAAAATTGTTCACGATTTTTTTACAGCAACAGAACATGCGCATGCGATGAATCATCTACTGATAAACAATTATATTACTTTCTTATTTGTGATTTCATAGTAATGTTTAATTTTAATTCCAACCACTACTAATGTTGTAATCACAGACCTGATATAGAGTAGACCATTCATCCAATGTATTTTTTTGTTACACGACCCCGGGGTCACAGAACCCCGTTACCATCATCCCACTGTATCGATTGGGACTGATATTATATCACTGCGCTATTAGTGGTAGGAACTGAAAACAAGAACACTTGACATTTGTTATTTTAAATAATGAAGGAAACAAAACTTCGAATCTTAGGCTGAATCAGAATGGATTCAGTCATACACTTTTGCGTTTTGGGAACCAAGAATATATTGACAACACAGTAACAATCTGCACACAACCAATATCGATTGTTTTGCACCATGCAGTTCTTAAAATGACCGTTCTTAAGCATAGAGTGCGCTTCAAAACCAGTAGTTTTGGATGACGTCGGTATTTCAGATCGTGTGACAAAAAGTCCCATAAGATGATTAGTCTACCCTATATTGCAAACAAGGTACAGGATATATCTTGCACCCAATGTATTTTTGTGTTCATCGTTCTGAAATACCGATCGTGTAAAAAATCAGTGTGACGAATTGTTGCATGACGTGATCTATCCTATCAACTCAAACAGTAAACAAGAAGATAGATGTTTACCTTCTGTGGGTATGCATATTTTTTATAATGTTTATCACACTGATTTTGCAAAACGTTAAATTTAATTGTACTTACTGTACTTATCGTTCACATGTAATTTTCATTCTTTTTTTGTGAAAATAGTACCAGTAAATGGGTGAGATACTCTAGTTTTACCAGTCATTAATTTAAATATACTGGATTTTTATGGGTTCTATTAAAACTGATTACTGTTAAGTCTACATAGTCCGATTTATGTCATATTTGGGCTCATTTCCATCGGGAGAACTTCATCAATCCATTAATAATATTTTCATAATGATAGGATGAAAATTATAGAAATGAAAATGTTTGATATTGATTAATTCATTGCAACGCAGGCGGTATCCCTTCAAATGCTGCGTGTCGCTTACTCTAACTGTATCTATTTATTTACTAGATCGTGGGGATGGTTTAGTTCAATTTAAGCGTGCAGATTTCAATTCAATTTAACCAAGCACTACCCTATCAGCTTCATTACCACAATTGCACTAATGTTGTTAAAAAATTAAGTATATGTTTAGTTTATCGAAAGTTTAACGTTATATATCTTTATAACGCGTATTAGCAAAAACGTTCGGAAATGGATCTACTTATTTTCGTTTTAGATTCATCATAAAAGTTTAGTTAAAATCGACGGTCCACTAGTTGTGACCTCTCCTTGTAAGTACAAAATTAGAACGGAAACTCCTATTTACAAACAAAAATCATCTAGTCAAATTACTTTATGCTAACGCCAAACCTCGCACTATTAAGGGTATCCCACCTAAACGAAGGCATCTAAACATCTTCTTCAGTTGTGATGATACAAAAAATATTTGGAATGCAATTTGAATGGTATCAAAAGACGAATACGCTGCAAAAAATATTTTAGTCCTAAAATCATTTTTTTTTAAGTTTCCAGGTCTTCAATGTTTTTTTGCATATAAATACATATTTTTTTCTCTTACATATTGTAATTGATATTAAAATGCGTTTAGAGATGTATAATGACATGACCTTGAAGTGACGCTTGTCTCTATTGCTTTTAACACATTTTAAATATTAATGTACACTATTGAAAAAAAAATACGAGTCCAATATTTTCGGATTTTTTTGCTGTATGTAAAGTTTAGTTAGAAATCTATGTATTTAGTAAACTCGTGTATTTATGTATAAACCCATGTATTTACTTTTACAGGGTGTCCCGTAACTCGAAGTACAAGCGAGCAGGAGGTGATTTTACGTGAAAAACTGAATTGAAAATGTAGAATAAAATTTTTTGTACCACAATTTAGTTGTACCACTAGTTACGGGACACCTTGTATATTAATAACAAAGAAAACATACAGTTATTAGGTTTAATGGAACTTATTTGGTTACTAATACTATTTTTCAAAGCACATTCTAAATTCTACATTCATTCGTTAAAATACATATTTTTACACACAAATGTAAAATATATTTATGTAAGTCTCATGTAGCTTCCGGAATTAGTACTGTAGCGTACCCTTTTTGTAAAATAACCATGTAATATACTTTTTAATATGAAGAGCCATAAAACTCTTGCCTCGCCACTGATTGGGCGGACGAGAGAACGAACATAAGTAGGTATATAAGAGCAGGGTTTTTTTTTTGGCAACAAGGTAGTCATTATTCACTTTGCAGGTTTTTTCAAAATTCTCTTGCATGAATTTATTCCCATGCGTGGTTTTCACACCAAAGACTTATATTCAAAATAACTAACGTCTCTTAAATTTTTTCAGAGCATTTGTAGGACTTACTCCAGGTAGCTCTCCGCAATTTCCAGGTGAAATCTTAAAAACAAAAAAAAGAAAAAAAAAGTCTTTACTCATCTAGCCTTGGCAGACGGAACACAGCTATCCTGATCTACGCACACCGAGTAATTACTAAGGCACTACCTCTGACTACGTGCATCCAACGTCAAGGTCTCCTCTTTACCTACAACATCCTACATCCAACTTCGACAAAACTTAGTAGAAGGATCTCAGCTATCCCGTATCAAGTGCATCGAGTCAAACTTCCTCACTCTATCCTGCTCCTAAAACCTTCGCTCGTACACCCATCAGGTAGTGTGTCCTCACTATCGTGGTCGAGTAAAAGTATGCGTTACAGTACGTATTTTTATCATTTAAACATAATATATACCATATAATTCACATAAATAAAAATAATTAAAATTGGAAGGCACTCACGATAGCTCTAGGTCGTAGCATGTAACTTATAAGTTTTATATTTTTTTACAACCTTCTCCGCGTTACTCCACATTTCCACAAATTACATTTTGTAGAGATCAAGAAATGTGGTGGTAGCTCTTTTTGATTCAATTACTATTACTATACTTTATTATTACTATATGCAAAACCATTATTTAAAAGTTTTTCAATTTGGAAAATAATTTGACTAGGCAGATGAAAAATAGTTTTACATACTTATACAAAATTCTAAAAAGAAATAATATTTCATTTACATCAATTTTACCTCGTAACTTAACGTCTAAATCATCGAACTTTCTTTCCATTTATTTTACTTAATTTGTCACGTGAAATTTTATCAAAAAATAAAAGTCCAGCAGCACGTTCTATACTCTCTGGTGGTACCTATTACAGTATATTCATTATCATCAATTATATTAATGTATGTAATAAAACTCTTATATACAAATGTAATAGATAATATTTACCTGGAAATTTGTTAAAGGTGTATTGTCATCTATAGGAGTATTTGGCATTACAAATGCTTCCATTTCTAATTTTGAGTCCTGTGTTTCACCAACAATTATTTTATAAAAATGAGTAGGTACTGCTACATGGTTTGCACCAATAACTTCATATCGAACATATTTTTTTCCATCAGCTTCTGTTCTGTAGTAATAATATATTTAAATCATTTAAGTAATCAGCAGAAAAAGTATATTCCATGGAAGAAGCATAGCATGATCATAAAATAAAGCATCAAGATAGCAATGATTGATGATGCAGCAGATAGGGTTCAATGCAGAAGTCTGCAAACCTTATTAGGGACTGAAACAAAGTTATGATATATGATTGATCTTTCAAACCCTTCTCTTTTTACATTGCTATCAATTCTTTTGTCCAGACATTTAAAATATGTATATCTTAATGCTCAATTGATTTTATAATCTTACTATATTTCTTCCATTCAGTATACATAAAAACAATAAAATTTAACTTACTTTGGCAAATATAAAGGACCAGTACAAACATACACCTCCTTATAAGTTTTCGTTAACTGCCGAATATATTTTTCTAATCTATTCCAAGAATCTCTATTGAAACCTTTACCTACTTGTGGTGCCATATTTGTTAAAAAGAATGTTTGCTGTATATGATTTTGAGAACACTTATGATTTCCAGCTGCTGCTAAATGACCACGATCATATCCACTACCTTTATAATCACTGTTATCTGCTCTAATTTCCAATCAATTTACTAAAATGTTAATTAAAAAATATATAGATATTAACTATAAATACTTACCTAAAAAAGGGATGAATACTTGGATCAGGTTTAAATTCACATTTACTGCGTGATATTTCCTTATTATGTTGCAATTTATCTTTATTTAAGTGTTCAAAAACCCAATGAGCTACTCTATTTCTTCTATCATAAGAAAGAACAAAATCCTCATATGATCTAACGTGATCTAATCCAGGAAAACCAAATTTCATAATCTATGAAAAATATGGTAAATTGTTTGAATTCCATTGTATATTATTTAAAAAAAATAGATCAGTAACCTATAAATACTGACATCTCAAGTGATAAATATGAGATTGAAAGTGAATGTTTAATATTACTTATCAATTACAAATAACCATCAATATTCCAGTATCAACAAGGTTAAGTATAACTTACAAAGCACAAACTTACTTCAGATACTCTTGTAGCTGTTGATGACAATTTTGAACCCATGTCTGTTTCATTTTCCACAGGAACATATGCAGTAGCTGCAGAAACAGTTCCAAATAAAGGCATACCAGGCATTTCTTTAATGTTTACATTCGAGAAAACACTTGCTCCACTATCTCTTTTTTCTAGATTCAAGTGTTTCTGTTCTGAGTATTTACCCAGATAAAAAGCACTAATACCTATAGTAGTTGCAGTAGTAAATTTTAAAACAATTCTTGTTATTGCTGCCATTTTTTAAATCATTAAGACTTTAACAAACAAAAATTTTTCTGTAGTAACAACTTCTTACTACTATAGTACTTATATAACTATACACTGCAGACGAGGTATAGGTACTAACATTTAACCCTTTCGCTCCTAACGCCGGTTAAGCCAGCGGCCACGAAGCGAGCCCTGGAGGCTAACGCCGGCTATAGCCGGCATTTACGATGTGAGTTGCAGAGACGGACGCCGGCTATAGTCGGCGGCGTCGCGAACTAATTTATTATTGTTATATATATGTATATTCATATATAAAA